CAGTTCAGTTGTCTCTGCAAAATGTGTGTGCGGACCTAACTTTCAGAATTTTTGCTTTTCTCGGGGAACACGTAAAGGCTGTGAGGTATAGTGATTTTTTAGGTTCACAAGGCAGGAATTTGGATTCTGTCCCATCAGATTTCTGCGAGAGAGCAAGTGCCTATGTCAACAGAGCTTTATTGGGCCCCTTCTGGAGCCTGGCCCGTGTCCTTCACAGAGCCAGGGCCCCACTCTCATGCTTGAAGGGTGTCAGAGTCCGGCGTGGGCTCTGGGCAGATTTTATTCTTTGCTTCTCTGCCACTAGAAGCTGGCTAAGACAGAGAAACATTGAACGAGTGTAGTTCAAATTACAGGATATTTATGAACAGCCGTCGCATTCATTCTGTAGACAGTATGTACATGGTTACCTGCACGCCAGGCCCTGTTTTAGGCTCTGGCAACACAACAGGGCACGAAACAAAAATCCGTGCCCTCGTGGGTAGTGTGGAGAGGGAAGACAGCAAAACACACAGGAGGACGGTGTGTGCAGGGTGTGAGGTGAGGGTCCGCAGAGCAGGGAAGGCACACGGGCACACGTGCACAGGCCGTCTTCTGGGCCCCCTCCCGGCTGAGCGCAGTGTTCAGACGCGCCACCGGCTCTTCAGAGGGCAAGTATCTTAGCTTTCTGAAAAGGATCTTGCAGCACATTTTCCAGATTTAAAAAAAAAAAAAAAAAAAGTTGGGTCCAGGTGGTTAAGTGATTCGCCAAAGGTCATGTGAGTCACTGGTGGGGGAATCTGACAGGAACCAGGTCTGAAGACCGTCCCTTTTTAAAGCCCCCCTTGTTGGGACATCGGCTCTTAACCTTGGTGCCTTTACACTATGGAATGGTCTCACCTTTCATGGCTCTGTGAGCTTTTCTTCAAAATTATATAGGTCTTCTGGAGAAGCAGCGAAACCAGGAAGGACAGAGACCTGAGATGTACTCGTATAAGTCTTCCTAGGAATCCACATGCCTCAACGTGTTAAAATTCTAGCACATCTAGTTGTTAAATCTTCTCCCCTAAGTCTGGCTTGTGTTTTGCATTTTGTTTTCCGTGTTAACCTATATTGTGATCACCACTGTGAAGAATGTGGAGTAGAAACCAGAAAGTGACAGAGGGAAGCAGGTGATTGTGTTGCTGGCCTTGTCATTGTTTCCTCTCTTGAATGTGATCCCTCTCTCTAACGCCAATGACATTTTACTATTTTTCAGAGAGAAGCTAAAAATGAAAGAACGAGAAGAAGCGTGGGTTAAAATAGAAAATCTAGCCAAAGCAAACCCCCAGGTACTAAAAAGAGTAACGTGAAAACGTCTAGGGTATCTCTTGAATGTTTTTATGAGCTAGGAATGTGGCTGCATCACGGGCAGGGAGGGGGTCGGCTTCACTAACCTTGTATGTGGAAACGTCTGCAATAAAAATACTTCTCAACTTTCGTACAAGTAACTTATTTTGCCCCACCAAGTTTTTACCACAGAATTGACCTTTTTTTCCTCTGCTTTTTCAATAAGATCTAAATCTTAACCAATGTACTGTGGTAAAAAGAAAGCCAGGATACAACGTCTATTTTGGGCCAAGATTAGGATTTGCTTTCTCCTCACCAACGTCATAGATGCTGTAGCTCAAACGATACGTCCCTTTCTTTTTAATATCGAAGTCCAAAAGAAAGGAACATAGATTTGAATTCGATGAAGTACGATGTCCGTGTCCTCTTTTCCTAAAACTAGGTTCCTATACGCTGAGCCTTTTAATCGTTAAAAATTGCCTGACGTCTGCGTGTTAGCAACTAACCCTCTCTCCCGTCCTCGCTAGAAGGTTCCAGCGCGCTCTGGCAGGTGCGCGCACGCGGCGTGTCTCCCGGAGCAGGCGATGCGGTGGCCCGCACGGTGCCCGCCCTGGGGCTCCGAGGGCGGCTGGGGGTTCTGGGTTGTGTGGTCTTTGGTGTTACGCACGCTGGTCTGGGTGACTGGAGCACTGCCTCATGGGCGGGCCCCCTGGTCACCACGGGGCCGCTTTCCTGAAGATCGTCTGTGCGCCTCTCCGCCACAGTAACAGCCCGCTGGCGGTCCTCAGGCTCCCAGAAAAGCTTGTACCTGACAAGAACCCCTCGGTACCCTCAAAATCCCAAAAGGCTCGTTGAGGTGAAGCTAGGTTCCAAGCCATGTGTTTCCTTGGGCCAGAGGCGGGCGTAAATCATTTACTAAGTCGGTTGTGCGGGATTTGTGGCTCTCTGACATCTCACAAAAAACAGCACGTGATCACGAAGCTAAAAGTGTGTGTTGATGTAACGTATCAATCGTGTTCCCTTTGATAAAACCGCATTTGAGAGACTTACACCTCAGGAAAGCGGAATGACGTTAAGTGAGGCCTTCCTTCCGCCCTGGAACTACCCCCACGGCCCTTCCCTAACACGACCGATTCTGTGCTCTGCCACAGAACTGCTCTGTCCACCTGCTGGAACAGAAGGGATGTTGAACGTGAGGCTGGAATACTGACGTTTGTTCCACAACACCGTGAAAGCCCAGATCCGGGGCAGGTGGAGGTGGAGGTGGAGGGGCCCTGCCTGACGGCCCCGTGCAAAGGGCAGCCAGCCGGGCGTCCCGGCCAGGATCGCCAGACACCCCACCACACACGCACCCAAAACCCACACCTGAAACCAGCCAGAAAGGCTGATTTTTAGCTGTGTCGCCTGGAACATAGAAACAACCTCATGGGAAACCGCATCAGGCTTTCACGTTACAAGCGAAAGAGCGGGTTGGCTGTGTAACAAACGTGGCCTCGTTTCGCCGCTGCGCTGTCACAGGTGTGCCTTCCTCTCGTTTCCCTTCTCCTGAGCTGCTCCTGCGTTTTCTTACGTGACACGTTTCCTCCTCTGGGCCGCTCTCTGCTGTGTCCCAGGCAGGCGACGCTGTAAGCGCCCTGGGCTGCACCTGCGGGGAATGTGGCGTTCTGGGCGCCGTGTTGACCATCTCCCCGTTGAAACCGCGTGTGACCCGAGCCCTGCAAGTCCTGTCCGCATGCAGCGGTCCCCGATGCAGCGTCTCCAGAAGGAACACGCTTCACGAGCTAATGTCTCAGAGCTGAAAAGCGGGGCCTCGGGACTTGATTGTCACTCGAGAGGGAGGGCGTCTTGTCTAAATCCTAGTCTCTGCTCTCTGTCTGCAACAGCAACGACAAAAGGTAATAACCCAGTGGACGAGACATCCTGCTTCCCGTTTCCGCCATGAAAGCAGTCGGGTCTTTCAGGCTTTGGCTCCGCATCTCAAATCTGCCTTTTTGAGGAACCGATTTGATAGCTTATTTTTAGGGCGCATCCCCAGCAGGGCACTGTCTGCTCGCTGACCTGTATCTGGAGGTCTCCCCATCTGTCCTGGGCTGGGGGGTCTACGGCGGCTCCTTTGGGGGGGGTCTTAATGTCCCGCGTCATTTAGGTGTTTTTTAAGTCGCGAAATACTGAGGATTTCTAACGTAAATGTGTTTTCCGACTCCGCCAAAGAGGCCAAGTCACAGGTGACTGCTTATTTCTGCCTGACTTTGGCGGGATTCGTGTGCAAGGAAGACAGGCACTCGTGTGAAACCGGGTGCCACCTGCTTCCCTCTGAGAGACCGGCCCCTTGGGGCGACGTGTGTGTTCCTTCACCCTGCCGCGACCCCAGCCTCAGCAGAGGTTTTTACTCCTCGTAAGAAGCCTCTCCTGCGGTGGCCGCTGTGTGGCACTTTTGTTGCTGAGACCAGTCTGCGGCATTCTTGTTCCCACCTCTCTTTGCCCTGAGCTCCAGAGAGGACTAGGGGCCCCACACGGCTCTCCCACTCCCACGTGGAGTGTGCCCCGCTTTTCCCTCAGAGCAGCCAGAACCTGAAATGCTGGTCAAAAAGCAGCCCCTGTGCCTCCTCGTGAGAGTCGTGGTTCCTCGTGCTGCTCCGAGCCCCTGAGGTGCTGTGCCCAGGCAGCCGCCACACTTGGCAGATGGGCACCATCCGGGTGTCCCGAGTCACGGGACATTCCCCAGATACCAAGACGAGAACAGGACACAGCTTCAGGGAGCTTAGGATCTGTGAGGGGAGCCAGATGGAAGCAAAGAGAATTCATTTCAGATGGTCAGATTATAACCCGTGAGATGCTGGAGAGGAAGCCAGGAGGTCTGCTTCCTGCCTCTGACGGGGACGCGTAAAGACACCCTGTGGCGGTGGCACGGCCACGGCCGAGGTGTCCCCAGCAGGAGGGCTGAGCGCCTTGGAGGGGAAGTCTCAAAGGGGACCTCCCCAGTCTGAATTTGGGGGAAGGTCCTCGAGGCAGAGAGAGCAGAGTCAGGAATCCGAGTTGTTCGGCACAGGTGGACTGTTGGCTATGGAGGAGGGGCTGGGTTGGTCTGGACGAGGGACGAAGCTGGAGACGGAACAAATGTCGATTTTATCCCCAAAATGGATGCAGGTGTTAGTGTCTTAAGGAGTGAAGTGGTGTCGTCAGACTTGCATTCCAGAAAGTTCTTTGTGGCAGCCAGGAGGATGGTGTACTGGGAGGCGCCCGTCCTGGGGGCTCTCTAGAAGTATGCAGCTGGGTTGACAGGAATGGTGGGGCGGAGGGCCGTGTCTGAGGGCCCAACAGCGCTGTGAACAGAGGCCAGGCAGGGAGACCCCCAGGGAGCGGGGAGCCATCGGGAGGGGCAGGGAGGCAGGAGGGGAACCGGAGCAGTCTCGGGGCGGTTGTGTTCCATCCGTTGGGCCCGTCGTGTCCGGAGAGGCCGGGAGGGTAAAACCCGATGACTGGCTTAGCAGCCAAGAGCTCCCCCAGCCCCAGCGTCTGTGGTACCATTGGAGGGGCCGTGGGGAGGGAGTGGGGGCACGGGCAGCTCCCTCAGTCCCTCCCATCAGCCCAGCGACTTGTTTGTTGCCAAGCATGACGGGCTTGCGGGGCACCTGCTCGCGGCTCCCCCACCCCCGTGTCTTCCTCCCCTGCCCTCCCCCTCACAGACAAAGGGGACATGTAGCTCACTGTCACCATCACTGTAGCCCTCTGCCGTGACCTTACCCCGCGTCCTACTCAGAGACAGAGACGCCCGTGGCCAGAAACGCGTCTGCGGCTCCCAGAGCCCAAGGACGGTGGGTCCCAGGGCTGTCCGGACCCGAAGGCACACCAGCCCTTCCCTCCGTGCCCGGCCCCGGGTTCGCAGCATGCAACCCAGCCGTCCCAGCCGGCTGGCAGAGTTCCGGCTAGAGAGCAGAGATGCCAAGGGTGTGGACACAGGGGTGGGGCTGATAAGGCGGTTCCAGTGAGTTAGAGCGTGGGGTGAAGGGGTGAGGCCGGCAGGTGCGTGCAGCCGGGGTGGTGAGCGGGGGCTGTCGGCATGGAGCGGTCCAGGCGGGCACGTGGACTCCCGCCCGGGGACCAGGGAAGGCTCTGGAAGGGAGGCTGCAGCCTGCGTCGTGCTCCTTGCCCGGTGCCCCGCAGGCCGAGGAGAATGAAAGGGCTCTGGTTTGTGAGGCCCCGCAGGTGCGGGCCGGAGGGGGACCCCAGGGAGGGCGCCGGCGGGGAGACGTGCCCCCTGCCAGGATGAGGCCCTTGGCGTCTGGAGCCTGAGCGCGAACAGAGAGGGGCTCCCAGCTTTGCGTTGCAGCATGCGGTGTGTGGTGAAGCGAACACCGTGAGCCTCCCGGTGGCAATGGGGACGGACAGGCCTCTGTCTGAAGATGTGCAGACGCTGAGAGAGACAGTGAGTGGACAGGCCCGCCAGGTAACAACGCGCAGAGCTGAGCTGGGGTGCGCCCGCGCTAGTTTGTTTAAGAAACACTTGTAGGAGGTGACGGGATCCAGGCCAGCGCCTTCGGTGTGAGCCCAGCCAGAGACTCCGTGTCGGGAAGCTCAGAGACAGTCGCTGCTCCATACGTCCTAACGACCAAAGTACTGGGCGGAATCTTTGAGAGTTTTGATTATTTGCCTCGTTTATGTTAACAGTAATGATCTCAGCCCTTAACTGTCCTTCAGATGTCAACCTGGGCGAAAATCAGACCTTTGGCAGTGGTGTCTCTCCACGCTCTTCCCTCTGCACTGTCCCACGTGCTGTGGCGCCGGGGCGTCCCCTGCCACGCCCCCACGGCCCCAGGACACTGGGCAGAGAGCCTCATTCTCCTCCCCTTCGCGCTGCCTCTCGGGGCGCTCAGGAGCCAGGGACGCCTGCAGGCCAGGATCGTTGTCAGGACCACCTCACGCCACGCCTGTGCTCAGGTGGTTTGTTTCCACGGTGGTAGAAATACGTGTTCAGATCACCACCGATCCAGAGACAGACGTTTCTTACTAAACCGGGAAGATGTACCGTGTGGGCTCCGAAGAGGGTCATGTGCCAAGTCCCTGCCTGCGTGAGGAGCCTGTCGCCTGCTGAGTTTCTCTGAACGTGCCTACCTGTCTTCACTTCCTGGGACCCAGCACAGTCCTGCCTGGATCGGGGCGCGTGGGCCTCGCTGACTCTGCAACTTGAATCCCCGGGGGCCAGCTCCACAAGTCCTGGTGCCACCCAGCACTACGATGCCGAAGCCTGAAAGGTCACGCGGGCCAGACCGTGTTGTGCACCAGATAGAGGTGGATGCAGCGTCGTCAGTGCTTGGAACCCACTGAAGCAGAGAGGGTGCTAGTAAGATTCCACTCCCCACCTGCTCGGATGGGGTCAGGCGTTAGCAAGAGCACGGGACCTCCGCCGACCAGGCTGCGCGGGGTTGCCGAGCCCTCGAAGCGTGGCCACCTGCGCCGAGCTGTTGTGCTGTCAGCCGACAGCACAGGAGCTCCCAGGCTCGGTATGAAGAAAAGAACGCAAAAACTGCTCATTCGTAATTTTCCGTTGTTGCGATGATAATAGCATTTGGGCTATGTCGGGCCGAATAAAAAATACTTTTAAAATTAATTTCATCTATTGCCCTTTACTTTTTTAATGTGGCTACTAGAAAACTTGGAGTTCCATACTTGGAACACGTTATTTTTCCATTGGGCAGCACTGGTCCAGACTCCTTTTTCCATAGAGCTGCCCAAAGAGGGCGACCCCACTGACCAAGTCCATGCCGCTTCCTGCCCAGCCAGCCCCTAGCCTTCGCTGAAGATCAAACCCTGAAAATACAGAGGAGAAACGCAGAACACTCCTAGTAAATGTAATCCAGGTAGATTCCATAATTTCCTTACAATTAATATTCTTAGCAATGAACAAAGTGAAGAAAAAAATTACATTTTTCTCTGTACTGGCTCTGGGGGTGTTAATTTTCCTGCTTCATTTTTTTTTTTTTTTTTTTTAACCAGGACAGGGTCATTTTTTAAACTACCGTTTTGGTTTTACGGCTCACAGTATGCTAAAGCCGTGAGAGCTTGCCCATCACTTACAGACTCAGAGAAAATCAGATCAGTGTCCCTCCTACCAGGACGTTGCCCAAGAATTTGTGACCACATTCGTTTTTAAGTCGCGTAGACCATGCGGAGTTGGAAAGGAAATTGGCCGAAAGGAAATTGTGCATTAAATAGTTTGGCTTTGGAGGCTTTTGGGTTTGTTCAGTTTTCTGTTTTGGAGGGTTTTTTGTGTTTTTTTTTTTTTTTTTTGTTTTTTTTTTTTTTTTTGGTACACCCTTTGGTCCAGGGAGAGAATGACCTGTGTCCAGAATGTAATGGAGGTGTACGTTATGGTCCTATTTATGATTTAAGGTGACTCTAAGGGATCAAGTATTTGTTCAAGAATGCAAACCAAAAGAGCATTCTAATGTTGAGTGAAAAACTGCCTCTTAGAGTTGACCCTAGTATTTGTGGGCCCGCCAGTCCCGAGAACACCTTCCACATGGTGGACGCACCCCCCTTTCCCTAGCACAGGGCACAGCTCCTTCCCAGGGGAGCACCTTCCACATAACGTGAAGGGATCGCTGTCAGATCACCTACCCACTTAGTGCTGAGTTTCCTAGAGAACTCTTGTATCCTGACTCTTGAAATGAGATGAAATAAGTTTTTCTATGTATTCGACAGTTCTACAAAAATTATTTGCCTGCTCCTGCCTCTTAGATTTCTGTGATCACGTTCCTGGGTCAGAAGAGTGGATGCCATTAAAATACCACTTCTCCCCAAATTAACGTGATCTCAGTCAGACTCCCAGCACACTTTTTGTTTTTTTTAATGACCTGCGGATTCCAAAATTCATATGGAAACACAGAGGACCCAGAATAGCCAAAACAACTTTGAAAAAGAATAAAACTGGAAGATTAATACCACCCAATTTGAAGACTTCTTATCGATTTCAGCAGTTCAGTGGAATCCACCCCTCCCCCAATCTCAAACTATCTAGATGAATCTATTTATAGTGCAGGCTCTTAGGTATAATATTTGATACGATAGACTCTTACGAATTTGAAAAATGTTGGAGTCATATTCCTGAAACTCTCAAAAACTCTGCTGTTAAAGCAAGGAGAAGATACCTAGATGCAGGAAAGTTATGTGCACAATTTGGAGAGCGAATAACAGCTGAAAATTAAAATTTGAATATTTCCAGTGCACTTCTAATTTTGTTTTTGGCTAATTTTATTTTTTGCAAAATAAGTCCACACTTACTTAAAACGATTTGAACGTCAGCCAGAACGGGAGGCATAGGAGGTGGATGGCAGAACTGTGCCAGGGGAGGGGAGGAAATCCTCCGGGGGGGGGGGGGGGGGGCGGTGGTTGGTTGGAATTTTCTAGAGAAATTCAAATTATATGTTGACCTGTGAGAACCATGATTTGTTTTGTTTTTGAGAAACTTGTATAACCCTACATAGAACATCCGAAGAAAAATAGTAAATTGCGTGTTTATGACATTTCTACCAGAGATGTTTAAAATGTTTACAATTCTCATTGTTAACAGTCAGTTGGGAGAAAAGCAGTGTCAACCATGGAAATAAAGAAGGTGTAGACAGACGAAAGGTGGGAAGCGAAGGTACAACTTAACACGTAGAGTGTGTTTAAGGCTCGTGTCCTCGGGCGAAGCCCTGACAAACTGACGTCGGACATGAAGTATTTTCCCGCTTCCCCCTGTCGTTCCAGCTTGTGGTGGGAAGGACCGAGGGGGTCCCTCGAGAAGCCCTGACTGGTTGTGTCCTCAGTGGCGCAGTAAAAACGCGCACCATCATGTGTCCGCGAGGCCTGCTCTTCTGCTACCACTTAACTGTATGAACTTGGCCTTTCAGACCTGCGGACGCGCAGCCGACAGAGGCCCGGCCTCCAGCCCTTCCGTCCCCCCCCCCACCCCCACCCCGCCATCCCCTCTGCTCGTGCTCCCTCCTCCTTCCCTGCCTGCCGTGCTTCTTCTGGTCTTTTCCCTCTCGTGGTTCGTGAAAATCACGCTCTGCCCTACCCGCCAGGCTAAGATGCCCACGCAGAAAGGCCCAGACGGGCCCGGCACCCTTGCCGACCCTTCGGGTGCTCGGGGCTCATGTTTGTTCTCTCCGCTTGCCTGCACTGGTTCCAGTTCCGAGGTTTTCACTGTTGGCTTTTTCTGTCGAAAAGTTGCTTCTCTGGAATGAAGGCCTGTGTCGGCAGTGATCAAATATTTCCAGGACGCCAAAGTGTTGGTTTCGTTTGGCCTCGCTTAGGCTTTATTTTACAGCTGCACGTGGAAGGGACACAAAATCCAGGGTAGAATTTTCCCTCTTGAGCGTCTTGTGGGCCAAAAGCAAACGTGCGTCGGCACCGTGACTGACAGTCCTCGGGGCACGTGCCCTCACGGCCTCCTGACGCGGGCGGCTCTCCAGAAACCATCTCTGGCTAGTTTTCAGGGGGGAAACTCCAAATCCCCACCTTTACCATCACCGAGTGTTAATTTCCAAGTAACATTTCTAGAAATATTCCTAACATGTCGCACAACGTTCCTTCCGAACCCTGACGTTGTTGCCGTTTCCGTAGATACATTTGCAGAAAATCTCCCCAGGAAATGTTAGCTCTGCAAAAGATGGGAACTTTTCACGTATGACTTTTCTGCAGGCTCTGGAATTGTTCTTAAAAGCCAGGAAAAGGGGGCGCCTAGGTGGCGCAGTCGGTTAAGCGACCGACTTCAGCCAGGTCATGATCTCGCGGTCCGTGAGTTCGAGCCCCGCGTCGGGCTCTGGGCTGATGGCTCAGAGCCTGGAGCCTGTTTCCGATTCTGTGTCTCCCTCTCTCTCTGCCCCTCCCCCGTTCATGCTCTGTCTCTCTCTGTCCCAAAAATAAATAAAAAACGTTGAAAAAAAAATTAAAAAAAAAAAAGCCAGGAAAAGTCTGCTTTCTGTCTGCTGAGGGTACACATCCAGGAACTGTGAGAGGCTGTGGTTATGTCCTTCCTGTCAGACGACTGACTTCCCTCGAATTTTCTCCGATAAGGCGTTAGTTCTCTACCACAAAGAGAATGTGTTCTCTTTAAACTCTGTCTTCTTTTTGATGGAGACGCGAAGCAGAAAGGCTTGGTTCTGGTTAAAGTGTGCAACTAATTGGCAGTCTTCTGGTGGATATATGGCGTTGAGATGACTTAGATGGCTCGTTTCGTTTCAGAAGTACTGGCATTAATGCGGTAGCTCTGCCTCAAAACTGAGTGATTTGTGGAATTGTTATTCATGGAAATGTGGGCGCTTTTGGTGCAAACTGCCCAGATCAGGCCCCCCACCCCGCTTTCTTTGCAGATTCACGATGCTCTAAAGCCTCGTGGAAAAACAGGAATCTTTTTTTAAAAATGTTTAAGTGAAGGGGCGCCTGGGGGGCTCAGTCAGTTAAGCCTCCGACTTTGGCTCAGGCCATAATCTCATGGTTCATGGGTTCGAGCCCCGCGTCGGGCTCTGGGCTGACAGCTCGGAGCCGGGAGCCTGCTTCGGATTCTGTGTCTCCCTCTCTCTCTGCTCCTCCCCCGCTCATGCTCTGTCTCTCTCTTTCAAAAATAAATAAGCGTTAAAAGAAATAAATAAATACGATTAAGTAAAACCTAAAAACTGAACTTGAGGAAGAGGACGAGGTGGAGAAGGGGGTCTTTTATTTCTGATTCTTAATATTGGGAAATTTTACGTGAATAATTAAAATACTGTTTTTCTAAGTCCTAGAGGGCTTGTCCCCACAAGCGACCCATTTAGCACCTCTTCCCTTGAAGACCTTTTTCCAAATTTGACAGAAGTTTGAGACCTTTGCTCGACTCCAAATCCAGCGTTAATGTGTTTCCCTTCCATTCGTTTTATCCACCTCCAAAGGAAATTTCCACTTTCTGAATGGCTTCGGTAGCGGGCATCGGCATAAAAATGCCTTTCGTCCTCTTTGATGAAGTAGGAGGGTTTTGATAGCGATGAGATTTGCTGAAACCAGTGGATTTGCAAGACAGGGGTGTGGAGTGCTGGGTGCAGAGCCACACTTTTTAGACCGGATTGCCAGCCCATCACCCTGGTGGTTAGGTCGTCTCCAACGGCCCAGGCCGTGGGGGGTGAGGCCCGCGCCGCAGAGTTCTCAGGGCAGCCCTGGAGCGTGCGTGCTGGGCTCCCGGCCCACGGCTGCCCTCTGACCCCTGCGTGGCCTCGTTGGTCGCCAACGTCCCTGCATTTTTGATTCCAGGCCCAGAAAGATCTGAAGAAGGACCGGCCCCTCGTGCGCCGCAAGTCTGAGCTGCCTCAGGACCTCCACACCAAGAACGCCTTGGAGGCTCACTGCAGAGCTGACCAGCTGGTCTCCCAGGACGGGCGCTAGTCCCCCGGAGGACCGCGTCGGGCTGGGGACACCTGCTCTCTCCTGGAGTCTGTAGAAAATACATCCCTTGTGTGCCATACAAATCAGTTACACTCAGAGTCCGAGCTTTTCTTCCACCCCGTTCTGTAGGCAGCGACACACTCTGCCTCAGCTCGAGATTAGGAGTTCAAACAATGGTGGCTTCCCCGATGTGTCCGTGGAGCCCGAGGGCCACCAGCCGCGTCCCCGGCGCGTCGTCTCGGCCCCCGCACGGCCCCCGTAAGACGGCTTCCCCAAATCAGAGCTAAGGAGAGCACCCTAGACATCTTCACGTTCGGCCCAGACGGAATCCGCGATCGTTTACCATAAGTGGTTCTGTGGTCGTGTCGATGTGCTTCAGATCAGAGGAACACTTGAAACAGAAACGCGTCGCGTATTCTTGAAGACTCTACAACCTCTTCGATTGTTTCCACGTGACTGTTGCGCCAGTAGTCAGTCGTTTTCTCTCCTTGCTCTCTCTCTTTTTTTTCCCTTTTCATCTCGTTGAAGTGGTCCTTTGCTGTCATCATTCTAACACAACTTACTGGGAAAAGTGACATGACAATCCTCGGCCACTGTGTTTTCCTGAGGTGTTTCTTTACTTTGCCTGATGACCCGTGTGCCGTGTTACTCTCGTGTACAGCTAAAGCCATACTTCCAAGCCCGCGGCCCAGCACCAGGGACTCCACGAGTGAGCTCGTAGGAGAAACGTGTTTTTAGAAAACGCCTTTCTCCATCCACCTTGACCGGAATTGGAATTTTAAAACGATGTGTCCCCTTTTTTCTTTTTTCTTTGCATTTTTTTTGTCTCTACTGACACACGGTTGCCCTTTAACGAGGCTCTTGAATGAATAAAATTCTCATCTCTAAGAATTGATATGATACATTTTGTAGAAAGTTAGAACGAGACCCTCTCGAGCTCGGCCAGTCCGGCCCCCGCCTCTGGGCATAAAGTAACAAAAATGCCACCAAACGCCACCGTCCGTGCCGGGCGCTGCCCTGACATCCGCTGGGTGCCGGACGCGGGCCCGAGGGCTCGGACGGGCAGCCGCCAGGGCTGCGGTGAGTCCCTCCCAGCCGACCAGAGCACGCGGTATAAACACCTCATCAGGAAAAGACACTGTCTGAGTTTCCATGGGTCTTCAAATGCTGCTATAGATCCGCAGATTTCCCTGCATGTTCTGAGCTTTCTGTTTGAATGGAACCGCACGAGGAGAAAAACCCTTCACCCGGGGTGCGTCTGCTCCGTATTTCTCTCAGGGTGGCCAGTATTTTGACTTCCTTATCCTGCTTGAAAGCTATTTGAGATGTGTACTGCTATCCCGAGCAAGTGATTCAGTTTCCTTGGTCTGTGGCATAAGATGATACAAGTCCGTGTTAAATGTCGCTGATGCACAGAAGATAAGATGTGGCTTCTCTCAGGCTGTCTGTTCTGACTCGAGGTCGTGGGTGTCCGCTGACACGTTGTGGGAAGCGGACATGGGCCCCGGGCAGCTGTGACGCCTGCTGCTCCCGGGGTCGCCTCCGTCCCTCCGTCCGCAACGTCTGTGTCCCCGTGTCCCGGAGGAAGGTTGCAGAGGGGGGTGGCGGGGTGGGCCCCGTGTTCGGAGCAAGGGCTCACTGAAAAAAACTGCCCCAGCTGGAAGCAGGAAGGGCCACCTTGGGAGAAGAAATGCTTCCTGAGAAACTTGACAAGTACCTATCAATTGTACCATTATGAAATGTATCCTTTAAAAACAAAAAGTTTAGATGCCTTCTCCTTTTGAGGGAAAAAGGGTGCTTTTTATTGTATAAAGCAGCGTCTTATGTATTTTGATATACCATTGTTTGAACTTCCGTCTTTAGCTGATAGATCCTCAGATATCCTTGATTTTGGATGTTCAGTATGTGTCGAGAGAGAGGGTCCTGGGAAGGCCCCCCCCTCTGCCCTCGGTAAAAAGCGAAATATCCTTGTCTGGGTGACTGTATAAAGCTCAGCCTGTAAAAACACCTTTTCTGTCGAGCTTTTATCTCTGCTCTTTATTGAAGACAAACATTCACCAAAAAGGGGGGGAAAAAAAAGTTTGAGAGAAACTAATTTTCTTTGACGAGAGTATTATTTCATATTTTGGCCTATTAAAGTTTTCCTAGTTAGTACTCAGATTCCCTGTGCTAATTGTTCGACTTATATAAGATACACCATTTATTATATTATATAGATACACCGTTTATCCTGCACCAAACTGATTTCAAAAGTACGACATTGAGAACAAACCGGTGACTGTTTTTCTTCATAAAGTCCTGCATTCGGCATCTTCACTGTTTCCAGACTGTATCTGTACATCAGAAATGTCACTATTCCGAGTGTCTTTTTAGTGTGGCTTTAGTATGGCTTCCTTTTAATATTGTACATACATTGTATCTTTGTTTTATGGTAATAAGTAATAAAAATGTAGACTTCATATTTTGTACAAAATGTCCTATGTACAGAATAAAAAAAAGTTCATAGAAACAGCAAAAATAGGTAAGTGGCACAATTATTTTTCTTTAGAAGATATCTGTAACTTTACGCTTTAGTGAAATGTTAAGTACCTACATATTTTTTAACATTTTGTAATCCAGAACTTTTTGTTTCGACATTGTTTATGAAGAGGAAACTTCATACACTCGCCATTTAATATGCTCTTTTATCTAATTTTAAAAAACTCTAAAAATGGTGTATTATATGGACTAAATAAAGAACATGTGAATTTTACTGCTCATCATGAAACTAAATTTAGCCACGGTGTCGGGCCAGCCGGTCCTGGTCACTATCGAGTTTCCCTCCGGCCTAGGCAGCCATGCCTGGGACACCGGCCGGGGGATGGGCAGTGTGGACGGAGTCCCTCACTCCAGCCGGGCGTGTGCTGGGCCCTCCTGGGCTCGTCCCGTGGGCTCATCCTTCACTTCCCTAGGGGAGAAAGCAACGGTTGCCTTTCTCCACCAGCTCTCCTGAGTAGGCACGTGTGAGTCAGAGCACGGTTTCTAGAAATGGAATCATTTGAGCCCGAATCGTGATGTTTAAAAGGATTCTGGAAAAAAGAAATTAATGTCTTGCAAACAGAACCGCTGAGAATCTGAATTTGGGGTCCCCCCCCCCTTCTTCACGGGGATCTTCACCGATCCCGCCAATGCTGTTGATGAAAAGTCAACCAAAGACGCAGAGTCGAGTCACTTCCTCAAGTCGTTGCCACGAACCCCCCATGCCCTTGGCTGTGCTTGGTGACATTCCAGCCGGCGGGTGGGGCTCACTAGTTCCCTCTCTCTGTCCCAAGTCTTGTGACACCCTCACCAGTAAAAGCCCAGGAGGTGTCGCCCTGGGCCCGGGGGTGTATTGGAGGGGCCCAGCCCCCCGCGGCGCATGGTCCTTGCACATGGTAACTCCATGGGGAAGTTTGGGGAACCGCGCGTACCCCACTTCACCCCGGGCGGGTACGCTGGTCAGAGGACACCTTAAACGTGGCGCAGCAAGGAGCTCGCTGGGCCCTGGGACCAGGTGGTGGACCGGGGGAAGCCAAGGGTAGCACCCTGGGGCGCAGGAGCCCCTGGGAGAACCCAGTAAATGGATGCTTGCCCTGGTCCGAGTCCAGCTTCGTGCCGCCCTTCTCGCACGCCAGCAGGGGCCCCGGCTGTGTCTCCTTCCCCGAGAACCAGAACCTTCGTGCTGTCGGGGGCTGCCCGACGCTGTGTTCCTTTACTTAACTTCTCATGACCCGGCAAAGTATCTGCCCGTGTTCATCCTCGCTGACCGGTGAGGACACGGGCTCGCAGAGGTCAGGTCACCTGCCCAAGGTCACATGAGTACTCAGTGGAGCTGGGTTCCAGCCCACGCAGTGTGGCCCCGGGGTCCGTCGCCTCCCCTGAGGAATGCCTGAGTCCTACAGGTGAACACAAGAGGGCCACTGCCTGACTGTGACTTCACCTTCTGGAACTGGAGGGACCCGGAAACCATCCAGCCCGATGGCCCCTTCACATACACACTCCAGAGGCCACTGTTTTTACATAGATCTAAAGTTTGCAATATTTGAACTACTTAAAACTCAAACGTGTCATACCAACTGTCAGCCCTTCGGGGTCCCTCCCCCCAACTCATTAGCTTCTGTCCTCATCAACTTTATGATGTTACTATATGAACCCGTAAATCTATCAAAACATCAGCTCTTTAATATTTGTGGTTTTATGTAAGATTTCATTGGGGGGGGG